TACTGTTCCAGAGAATACTTACGGAGGAGTATCCCTTGCCGAAGCTTCCTCTGTTCTTGGTCCTAATCTTGGTGAGCGCTGATTCAGCAATGTCCGCCCTCTCTTCGGCATCATCCAGCTCGTGCACGGTCTTCCTGTACTTTGCCAGGTTCATGTTAGCTTGTTCCTCCTGAAGTGACAGCAGTGTGAGTTATTTTAAAAAGCCCACAAACACCATGCTTGGAAACGTGTTCAGAGTAAGAGGATGAGGTGACGTACGGCCTCCTCTACTTGTCTCTTGTAGGCCTTCATCTTGTTTTGCAGCCTCTCCACCAGCTCCTGCATCCTCTGCTGGTTCTTCTGGTCCTCCTCCGACTGGAACAGCAGTTCCTTCAGCCGACGCTCGTTCTTCCGCAGCGTCTTCACTGTCTCAGCGTGCCGCTTTTGTTCAGAGTCCAGCTCCAGCTCCAGCTCCTTCACCTGCATGCAAAGAGTATCTACTATTGTGTGCAGGAAGGCTTCATATTTATCCACTGAGTGTTTAGTGAAGACACACTCTGTTACAATTTGTTATTTGTCAAAAGTTCCATAAGAGCAGAAATGTACTGCAGGCCAGACAACCAATACTCAATAACATACAGCTCATAACTTTGTTTTGTCATATTTCTGCATATGCCAGTGTGCTACATGCAAAGGCATGTGCAAATGGCTAGCCACTAGCACGTAAATATAAATCCTTAATCCTATAATTAGTTTTTATATCATCTTATTATATTGTAAAAATAAAGAATGGTTTAGAAACATCACTTTTAGGAGGATTTTCTTGCAGGTCTGACTTTTTATGATTTTATGTACTTTAGGGTAACGGTTCAAATAAGTTCCAGGAGGCAGCATTTTCATGAAGCCAGCCCTGTAGCAAGATTTTCTTCTGGAAGAAATTTAAACTACAGCAGTATTGATTATTAATCGACTTTACACATTGAATTACTTTATAAGTCTAACAGGTAAGTACTTCTTCTTTGCAGACACTTATAGCAGGGATACTCGTGACCACACTAGCTAAAGTAACTGCACATATCCCAGAGCAGTTGCTTCACAGCTCCAACATTGTGAGGCTAAAAAGAAGCGAAACAGTTCAGGCATTCTGACATGTTTGTGTGTACCTTTCCCTCCAGCTTCTGGATGATCTTCTTTCCTCCTTTCAGAGCCATCTGCTCAGCTTCCTCCAGTCTGCTGCTCATCTCTTTGATCTGGGCTTCCAGTCCTTTCTTCACT